GGGAAACTTGCCGTCTGAAACAGACGAGCGCGACAAAGGGGACCGGCGTTGTAATATTTCGCTGTCAAACTTGTTATAGCGAAGAAATTGTCGATCGATTAGGGTTACTTGTTTTGTGCAACGTTTCTCGTTTGACATTTTTGTATAATTGGCAGGATTATTTAGAAAAAATAGAGTTTTTGTTCTATATATATATATCGATAATTATTCAATTTTGTTATTATCTCTCTATCAATCAACACCAAAATTAAAATAAATATATTTGTACATCAAACGTGATGCGTGTAATCAAGATGTTTTATCCGATCTATTTTCAATGTTTTGACAAAATAATTTTCTTTAGCGAACGATCTGTTAGATCCTTTATTCTGTTCGATATTAAATTATCGTGTCAGAATATTTTGGAAGAGATGCTCAAACGGAAACTAGAAGAACCTTTACCTTTTTGATAACAGAATAATCGTAAACTTGGATAAGGGAAATGAAATCTAAATCCAAAATCGGATGGAGAAGCGATAAAGTCGTCGTCGGCCACTCGCGAAATATCATTATCTCATAAAATTCTCACGACTGCTATCTCGTGAAGAAACGCCGCACGAGAGAAATCCGACTTTTATGAACGTACGCGCGATATCGATACTTACTGCTATTCTCCAGTGCTGTGTGATTGCACTCCATGATAGCAGCCACCGCAATACCAACGCTGCTGAATTCGATGAGACCGGACGACGATCGTTCAGACTTGAGAGGGAACAGCTTGATCGTCGTCGGTGCCTCAATGCCGCGTTCTACGAATACGCGATTTACTGTTTCCTCGGTCAGATCCGGCGGGGTATTGAAGAAATGAACTATTTTCGATGGTGGCTGTATCCTGTTCTTATTAGCCATTGCGGGGTTCAGGAATCTGCAATGATATATCGAAAAACCGGGCACTATAGACTTGCAAAAAGAGCGAAAGAGAGAGAGAGAGAGAGAGAGAGAGCGAGCAATTTCTACAAACTATGTACATAATTTTTTTCGTCTAATTTTTTATTAATTTGGAATTATTGTAATGTTAAAATAAGTAATGCATACAATTTCATTATTTATGAGTTTTATTTTGTTTCAAAATTATTGAAATTTGTACGTTATTTGTTAATGTTATGGAAAAATTGATCTAGCTTGTAAAGTTTTCTGAATATTTTCATAAAACAATATATTTCACGCGTTTTTTTATTAATAAAAATTAAATAAAACAAAAATCTATGGAAGCTATCAATCATAATATGTCAAACATTGATTTCATTTACCAATTTTTGTGAAGAAGAAGAGAGTGAAAAATGCATTTAATATTTGCGCTCAACTTTTACAATTTCATTATAGATATCTATCATCATTCTGTCAGTTTTGCTCTGACTGGTGAATTTTAAATTGACAATAAACGAGATATATCGACAGTATATTGGTGAAGATGAATTTCTAGATTTGAAATGTAAAAACAAACTTTTTCATCATTTCAAAACACAAAGAAGCAATATTGGGATAAAAATATCAAAGCATTTTTTTATTTCCTCTCTTCGCTTTGATGAAACCTCAGGGGAAATTACTTATTCTCGGTGTAAAATTGTTCTCTTTCACGACTTGTACAATATCGGTATCTCATTCTCAACAAAAATGTCAGCTTACAGCCTAGTCCCTCAATTACGCGAACGAAAGCGGATTTCCGCATAGAGAAATGTCCAGGAGATACTCCTGGTGCACAGTTTGTCTTTCACAAGCTTTAGGAAACTTCTTGTGATTAACTTCTCGCAATCAGAACTCGTGCTTGCGCCCAAGGCGGAGCCATTCCCTGCGGGCGATTAGGTTTTTCGTCGAAGCAAAATGCTCATTTCGTCGAGAGAGCACTTTTTACTCCCCCGTCAAAAACATGCATTACGTTTAGCGGTGTATTTCTTCGCTTTGTCAAATTATTCGTTTCAATGAATTATTCAGGTTTAATCTTGCAAAACAATGTTTGAGTAAAATTTAAATTGACTTTTTCAGAATCGTGTGAAATAAATGAAGCGTCGAGACTAACGATAAAAGGCAAGAAAAAATTTCAGAACGAGAAGAAAAATAAAGAGAAAGTTTAAAAAAACTTTAAAAATTCTAATTAAAAAAAAAAAAAAACGCCTTACACTGTTGTCTTCATTGCAATGACATTGTTGTGCGAGTAATAATTATATTTTTTCAACAATGTGAATAGTTAGTAATAAGCAGGAAGCATTTTATAGAATTATTGTTAATTTTGATTCAGTTTTAATGTAAGTGCGAGATTTTAAGCTCTAGATTATTCTCGACGCTTCATGTGTAAAAGCTTAAATTCTTTCTTTGGACACAATGGCGTGATTTTCGCGCGTGATAAAAACTTCATTGAAGATTCATACAGGGAACGACTCTCTGCATTGTCTGCAGTTCTCTAGCGTAGTCGAAAGAGCTAGAACTTAATCGCCGAGCCTGATCATTAGACACGCCCTTTTGAGTAACTAAGGGACGACCAGCGGAGAGGTACGCTGGTCCAAACGCGAAATTGCAGTGATGTCGTTAGTTCCTATTCAACCTTTAGATTTGATTCTTCCGCTCGGGCGCGTCCGCTTCCCCGAGCGTGACCAGACAAGGCCGCGAGACTCAAGCTACGAGTGGGAACCGGAGATTTTCAGCGTTACGAAGCGGAGAAATTTAAATCGTGCTCGTTTACGCGTTTTCATTTAATTAGACTCCCGAGTTTAATCTCGTGGAGTGCCGTCGCAATCTGCCGGATCGCGCTGAACACGCCCCGCGTTATGTTACCTCCTCTTAAGATCCGCATGAAAGATGATGATGGGGAATAGGTCGATCAGGCAAGATAGCGTTATCAAGACCCGTACTTTCTAAGATCGATGACCTCGGTGCCAAAGTTAGTTACATATCAATTTATTATGTATAAGTCCACCGATATATTTCGTAGAAATCGAATTTTATAGAAGAAAGCAAAAAAGATGTTCCGATTACGTGCGACTCGTTTCTTATCATATATAATCAAAAAGAATATTTCTTTAAGTTTAAAACTAATTAGTTAAATACGATTTATTACAAATTTATTTAAAGACATTTTTATTTAAAAACTTTACGAATCTTATGTTAAGGATAAAACTGTAATATATTGCTTCACGAGTTCTTTCTTTTTTTTTTTTTTTTATCATACGCAAGACAAAACGTGCGATTAAATGGCGAGGAAAGAACAGTCGCTGTGAAAACTCGGAGACATGTACCTACAACGAGAGTATATATGTATATATCCTCTCGCCTTATATATAGCGTGAGAGAATATCGCGGAGAATGAAAGAAAGATCAAGCGGAGACAAATGGCCTTCACGAGGGGAAGAACAAACTGAGCGAGAAATGACAGCAGAATAAAATGCGAAGAGTCGCTAGTACCAAGACTCACCTGTTATTCTTGCTTCCCGTGAAGTCCTTGAAGCTCGCTGTCTTGTCGGGTAGGATATAAGGGTTGGTGACGTCCGAAAGGAAGGCTTGCTTCGAGAAGCCGAGCTGTAACCTGCCGTCTGTCCCGATCGTGACGTTATTCAGGTTCTGTAAACATCGTTCCACGGCTATGCTGTCTCCCATCTGTATCATCGCGCATCCTTCCTTCGTTTTCAAGAATTTGACCTGCGATCAGAGAGCTTGAAGTTTATCGCACGGCATATGAAAAGTGCACGATGCTCGTGAAACGTGCGAACCGGTAAAATACGCTCCTCTTCTCGAAATAACCCGCGATCGATCGTTAGTCATCGCGGTAATTTATATACATCGAGTAAAGTGTAAAGAGTACCTGGTCCGTACGAAATTAGCCGAGTCGAATTTTTTCTCCAACTTTCAATCCCAATGTTCGATCTAACATATACTTTGATAGTTTAAACAGATCACCCTATTTTAAAACTATTTAATCTACAGTTTTGTCGAAAAAAAGCTCCTCTTTTAAATCTTTAAATGAAAAATTGTTGGTTCACTGGCTTTTTGAGATACAAAATAAAAACTCAATACAATACTTATATAAATGACTTATACATTTCTTATATAAATGAAACCTATCGAAATCTTTCAAAATCCATAAATGTGAAAAAAAATAGATTAAAAATAGGAGCAAAATTTCTCGACTCGGGATATTTTCTTCCATATTTCAAATTACTTTCAGTTTGGTATTTGATTAAACATTCACTGAACATTGTATGTTTAATGAATGAATCATTAAATAGAGAATACAAAATACACGAAAACCTCTGCTAGTCCTTGTTAAATGCAAGTACATGCATTAGGGATGTCGGCAGCCGTACCATGTTAACGGAACCCGGGTCATGAGATGATTAAGTCGTGCAAGCTCTTTTATGTGTGTATGTATGCGTGCAGGCACACACGCGCGATCTCGCTTAAATTTAACAAACACCTGCTTCGTACAAAGAGGTTCGAGGTCACCACCTACCTTCGTTACGTTGCCGTACAAGCAGAACAGGTTGAAGAGCTTGTCGGTATTGACTTTGTCCGGTTGCAGGCCGTACACCATCATGACTGAGCCCTGCGTGCTCGAGGGTGGCGTTTGGCCCAGGGTGGGCACGTAACTCGGTCGAGGTGGCGTGGGATGTAATGGCTCGCGGCCGCTGAAATCGCTCTTGATGCCGTAACGCTCGACGTACGGCTCCGCGTACGTCGCCGGCCCGTTGAAGTTCTCCTCGTAACGATCGTGACCGGCGCCCGGCGGAAAAGTGACCTGTGGCGTGGAGCCTGGAACCAGAGATGCACATACCACTAATACGGACGTGTGAGACAAATGACGCGCGCGAGAGAGACACTAGATAACTGAACATTATTGTTGTTGTTCACCGCGGGAGTCTGTCTGGACAGTGCTGATGGATACGCGTTGCTGTTCAGCGAAATCGGGGCATCGCGAAGGAATTTAGCACAGTCGCAATAAATCGTCATAATGCGGACTTTCTGCTCAATGTTTATAAGAAGGATTTTTATATTAAAACAGAATAAATATATGTACGATAAATATGCATATATACTTAATTAATATTATTGGGAAAATTAGCAAAAAATGAACGTTAAAAGAAACGTTGATTTTATGCCATTTAATTTATGAATAATTGATTTAACATATCACTTTATATATATTTTTATTTATTATATATAACTTTTATACATGAAAGCAAGTGTCAAGTATTAATTTCGTAAATGAAGAACATTTTGCCAGAGGATTTATATATTCTCTGAGAAATATTTATAAATATTCATAATATCTTAGAATGTTTCTGCGTTTTATGCAAAGGCAGAATATGTAAAATATAAAAACAGAGAAAATAGAAGAAATAAAAACGATACAGCGTTAAAGCGAACAATTCAACCGTTGGCCGGAGTAATACAAGCAGGCGAGAAACTCTATTGGAATGGTAATGCAATACTGTGTCGGCTGCATGTAGCCGAGTATTAAATGTTGCGACAAATGGTATCGATTAAAATGTCGGGGGTTATTGGGAAAAGTGAGTCGCGGTGGTGAATTACGATAATGTTTTCAACTATCGGATTATATGGCGCGCAACGAGACTCGAGTGATTTCGATTGCAGTAGCGTTACGTTACATTCGATTCAACGATTTTCCGTCAAAATTCCAATAGGATAACGGTTGCAGTTGACTTATGGCGATAGTTTTAGACCGAGCTATATACCAGGAATTATATTTCCCTGAAGTCAATATTAGAATAGAAGCGTTCAACAGCTTAAACGTGACGCATACAGGATACTGATATTGCTGCTTGCAATAGCTTCAAATGCACATCGATGATCGATGCAACAGAGTCACGTGTTGCTTACATGACAAATCCATTTAATTCTGCATTATTAAATCGACATCTTTGTGATACCTAATACGAGTTTCCTCATGATATTACAGAACGATGAATCCTAAAACTAGCTTATTATTTATATTTTACAATTAATAAAATAGCAAAAGATGAAAAACAGTTTGTATAAAAAAATAGTTTCTGCAAAAATCTCTTGATTTTTAAATTTAAATTTTTCTAGGGGCTAATTTTCTAATTTAAATATATAAGTTTTGGAGTAATTTATTAATATACGTAACATCTATTGAATACAATTTTTCATAATTTAAAGATTTTGAAAAAATTTCGAAAATTGCTTCGCATAAAAAGCTATTATATATTTTCCGATAAATATTTCCAAGTATAATATTTTATCATTAAAATGTGTAGATTTTAGTTTTTATTTTTTTTTTTGTTTTCTACTCTTATTATTATAACGTTTTAAAATTATAAAGTTACACAACATATAAAGTTTTCAGAATTTGCATACACGTTATGCATGTTATTTGCGTTGTAAGTAAAATTGCTTGTAATATTCCTCTGGGAAAACTTGATTACGTGTGTTTGTACATTCGGTCTCTTATTCATATTTCACAAAATATGTGATGAAAAAACAAGCTTTCCATGCTTGTGTTTTTATAAAAGAAAAACTTTCTAATAAAATCTTTTTCCAATTTAATACGCTCAAATTAGAAATTTTCTTCGCATAGAAATTTCTTTGAACGCAATATGTTTTACGAATGCAGTAACCGAATATTTTCAAGATAAAATGGTTTTACAAAGTATATTTTTCTCTTCGTGTACGTTGCAAACAAATGTGCTCGACATACTTTTTCTTTCGGGAAACATTTAGAACATCGTTTCGCTTCGCACTTCGTCTGTCTTCCATTAATCCGTTATCATTTTTTACACGTGTTCACGGAAAACTTTCGATCGCCTGGCCCATCTATTTTCCAAACCGGTGAGCTTGATTTGGCCATTAGGTATCGACGAACAGGATAGATGGACAGACGGTCGAATGGACGGAGAGACGGAAGGAGAGAAAGACAAATACGGACAGACACTCACCGTATGGCTGGGGCGCGGCGCCGTATCTTGGTTCGGCCAAAAGGGGAGCCGGCCTTCCATTTCCTGTCGCGTCGTTTTTGTGTGTGCTCGAGCCTGCAATAGAACGACAGTTCGTCGATGAGACTATAATCATCTACGACGGGTACATTGCGTTCCACACAGCCGTCGCGGCGCGACGAGATAAACGATGTTACGAGCCATTTATCCTGCGTTCCTAGTCATTTCAATAAAAAAAAAACTTCTCCAATTTTAATATGGGTTTCGGGCCATTCGCCTACATCACTGATTGTGAGTCATACATATTTTAAATTATATTAAGAATCAATAAAAGATTAAAAATTTTATACGTGCAATAGCCAAAAATCTCGCGGTCATTCAATTAAAAAATTTTTAATATTGAAATTTATAAAATATAATATAATGTACTTTTTTTTTTTTGCTTTGGGAGATCTACTGATTTCGATGTCGGAAAGATCAATTCTGAATCAAGCGATATTAAAATACGTTTAGTGAATAAATGTAAATCATATTTAACCATATATTTTATTAATAATTTCTTGCGGTATAGAGCGCGTTATTTTTGTTTATACGCGGTCTACGCGGTTGACGCACTTGCCTTATCATTCGCGCGATGATACAAGAAAATAATAGCATGAGATAGATAGCTCCGTCGTATTATCATTCGAAATACCATCGCAACAAGTACTAAGAAAGCCAGATCCTCGACGAAGAGATTAAATATATTCAAAAGTTGGAATCGAAGTATATATAAAAAATGGGAATGCTAAATTACTGTTTCATTGCGATACATATGGGTGACATATATGCTTTCTTTTTAAATCGATTACTATTCTTTTGTTATAACGTAAGTATGAATAAATATACGAGTAATAAAATTGAAATTTTATGCAATGTAATATTCGAAAACAAATCTCTTTGCTGCACCACCAATCGTGCGATAAATTTTGCTCGAATATATCATGTTTTGTGAAATGCGTTTAATTGTTTAATAAAAAGTAGAGTCACATTTAGTCACGTATTTTAATAATTTTCAACCGCGTAGTGAAAATTCGGCGCGCTCGTGTGTTTCCAATGACGTACAACGCGCTATTGTTTACAGCGCGCTATTGTTTACAATGAGGTCTTCGCGATCCACGCAGTTGCCCTGTTGTCATTCGCGCGACGACACTCGAGCAAGGAGGTAACAGCGTGAATCGCTCCGTCGTATTATTTATCGAAATACTATTGCGACAAATATTAAAAGATATCAAATGCGACATTCTCGACGAAGAGATTAATTCTTAAGATATATTCAAAAAAAGTAGGAATCGAAGATGGGAATGCTAAATTACTGTTTCCTTGTAATATACGCTTTCCTTCTATAATAGTTATTATATTTTATTATAACATAAATGTGAATACATATACGAGCTAAAATTAAAGTTTCACGGAATGTAATATTCAAAAATATCTCTCTTTGTGGACTAATTACGTGATAAATTTTGACCGAGTAAATCGTGTTTAAATATGCAAAATATACGAATCCCGCGAAATACAGGTATCTATTATTATTACATGGTATTATTATTATGCCTTTGCGTTACTTAAATCATTTAAATCGATGATTCATATACAACTCCGTATTTTCAATCCGAAAATAGTAGGTATATTATATTCATATTATCATAAATTTCAAAATATGATGCGAGGTATATTTACTCCAAACGAGTATATTTACAGATATACAAACATTAAAACATTATCGCCATGAAACAGTAATTTGTATAATTCTCATCTCCTATGTCTCGAGTCCTACTTTTTAATATCGCGAGAAATCTGTTTTGATAAATAACTGTTAATTCTGACAAATCCGTCAATCGTGAAAATTAATTCATTCGGGCTGATAATCTGTAGTCGTTCGTCAGGGATCGCCTTCGTTATCTCTCAGCATTTGTTAGCAATAGAGATAACATTGTCGCGCTGTTCTTTCGTAAATTGCACTTTAAGAAAATGCGCGTTTCGTGTGGTTAACGTCGAGAAAAATTACGTGTAAAATGTCGCGCGATCGTTGGGTTTTGTTGATCAGCGCACACGGTTTTATTTTCGCGAGTGACTAAATAGAGTGTTTACATTTACGTATAATACATACAATATTTCGTGGTAATAAATAAAATATTTCTTGTGAACGAACTATATATCATACACGGTATTCGATACTCGCTTTAGGCCTATCCGTTTTGCCATTTTCAGATACTATTTTATTGGACTAATATAACAAAAGCTATTTATATGTCGTTATCTTGCCATATGCGTACAGAGACTCGAGTAAAGAGGCAGCGGCGCGAGTTATTTATCTCTCGAAATATGATCATAGAAAATTGCAAACGCGATTTTCTACAATTATTGCAATTAGTTACAATATATTATTACGATTATCAACTTGCGCGATTAATTAATTCCCATAATGTTTTAACAAAATATTAACTGGACACGAATAGTATCGTGCGATATCCAGAAACAATCCCGGCGTTATTCATATTATTTTTTCGGTCATTAAGAAAACGTCATGAATACATTAAAAACAGATTTTCAAGTCAAATGACGTTATGACGCATTCAATTAATTAATACAGTCGTATTTAATATGTTTGTACGTATTTAATATGACATATTTTAATACACTTGTTGACCACGTAGTTAATATTTGCGTTTAAACATCGTTGCTTCGGCAAAAACACATTAAAACGCATATTTTACGTGATTATTCGATTAAAATATATCCCATTCAACGGAAGCAATCAACAGAACGATGACGCTATTTTCAGATATGCTATTCTTGCTCGATGTTCATTTTTTGGAGTATATTTATATTGCATCCTTTTTCGCAGAACATCATTGAATATATTCTCATTAAGTACATACGAGATAACGTTTATTCTCGATCGCGGAATTCGGGAGTGCTGTATAAAGTTTTGCGCGTTCGATTTTTAACAAAGTAACGATTCACTCGCAATCGTCATTAACTGTATTTTCGCGAATGAATTTAATGCGCGAGTGCAATAAATTTGAGAAAAAGAAACACTGACAATCTGAGAGGAGAAGGAGGAGATTTAAGAGGCATCAGGTGTCGGCGGAGCAACCTTGAGGTGAGCAATTTAAATACTTTTTATTTTGTATTATTTTTTATGAAATTGTTTATCTCCGTAATAGTAATTATTTATTTCATATCATTGCGTAATATAATACATATTAAAAATTTGGGCACTACTTTATATATCTATAATTAATTTTATTTTTGTGTTTTTACAGATTATCATAGTATACTACAACTCCGCTGTTGCGCATCGTGTGCCGGTGAGTTTCAAATTATTTTTTATTTTAATTTCAAGCTCTCTTTTCTAAAAGCTTCATAATTCCTATAAAGGAATTACGTAAATAATTCAATTAATAATAAAAATGATGAGAGTATAGATTTATATATTTTAAAATTGTAATATTAAAATAAAATGTAACTGATCAAATGCACTGCATAAATCAACTCCGCATGCAAATTTAAAATTCAAAATTACACACAATAATAAGATAATAATGATAGAAAATTGCGCTTGAAATAATATAATTTAGATTTTGATCAAGTTCTTGATGAGAGAGGCCGATACAGTACGTATCCCGAGTTCTCTCTGATTGGTAGGAAAGACAATAGTAATAGAACAACACATTTTGCATAAACCGTATTTGGTTCTTCATATATATCGCCTCGTGCAATATTGGATTATACTAAATCGCGTTACATCCACATATATACATATATAGATACGCGTGTATATCCTCAAGATAAGCGTAAGTTACCTCTTGGTATATCTACTCACATTATAGAACACCCTACACTGTATGCAAGAGCTTGTTGCTGCAACAAGCTATATCATTTCATGCTCTCTCTCTCTCTCTCTTTCTCTCTTTGTGTGCGTGTGTGTGTATGTGTGTCCTTTCCCGAATATTCGATATTCGCCGCATCTTCTCTCGAGCGGTTGCAGCCTTCAGCGAGAGACGCCCATCTTCATTTGAAATAGAATGTCCTTCTATCGCTCAAGTCGCATCAGTCACTGATTGGTGTTCGTCGAGAAGGAAGCAATCGCTTTAATCCTGTTTGATCCCCAGGATCGAGTCCGATACTACTCTATTGTGGACGTACAGAATCCCGGCAGATTAATTGCTAATTAAGATCGGTACGCTAATGCCGCCGCTGCCGCGCAATTGTAGGATGTATAATGTTTGATTTAATTGTAAAGCTAATTCGAAGAGCGAAGATGTATGTTCCTCCTTTTAAAAATAGATTTGAGAGGCAAATGCTTTTTTAATAACAGATCGATATTTGAAATATATATCAGGGTGGAAAATGGAATATTTGCTCGAAAATCATATTCGTGATTTGCATCTCAATGCAAATGTAAAGTTGCTGTCAACTATATCAATCATTTAGAATAATGAAAGAGAATCGTATTATTTTTGCAAAATTAATAATACTTATAGTTGAAAATATAGACGGTTAAAAATGATAATCCATATTTTTCTAGTTTTTGAAACTATAAATGAAACAAAACGTGCCGATGATTTGATAGCATAAAACGATTCGATGATTTACAAGATTGAAATGCGAATAATAATCGCGAGCCATTCTGATCTGCGAGTTAATCATTTAATGTCGCCGAAATGAAGATCGCTGGCTGGGACGGTTGGCGCGTGTTTTCCAATAACGAAATAGGAACAGAAGCACGGCGGACCGTGTGTTCTACGACAAACTCGAGAAACAGCGCATCTGGTCTGGGCGTCGTCGAGATCCTCGCGAGTCCATGAAACTCGATATTGGCACTTGTAGAAGTCGTACAGGTCCGCGGAAATTGCGATTTCGGATACTGGCGGGACTACGCCAGTAGTCGCTCGGAGTTTCCGCCGATGGTTGTTTGTCTTGGCCCGGCTTCTCGGGACAGCGACACGATTAACGAATTTACCGTTCACGATGGCGAACGCGAAAATACCTTATTGACAGTTCGAAATTGGAGCAGTTAAGACAGCTCAAGACATTTATGATTCTAT